AAAAATGTCACTTTTTTAAATATGGTGTGCCAAGTCTTGGCACACCATATTTAAAAATGACATTTTTTTTTAAGTTTTGATACTCTCTTGAAAAGTTCTAGAGCTCTTTGCGACAATTTTAAATAGTTCCGGTCATTAAATACAAAAAAATAGACTTTTAAAAAAAGGTGCGCTAAGTTCTCGCAGCGCACCTAATCAAACAAACTATTTAAATTAACTATTTCTTTAGAGTTCCGGTTTGTATTACAATAGTTCTAGAGTTCTATATCATATATAACAATAGTTCTAAAGAAATAGTTGATTTTACTGATTAAGTGCGCTTCGAGAACTTAGCGCACCTAATCAAACAAACTATTTAAATTAACTATTTCTTTAGAGTTCCGGTTTGTATTACAATAGTTCTAGAGTTCTATACCATATATAACAATAGTTCTAAAAAAAAGAATTCTTCACGTTTCGTGAAGAATGACGTTTCCCGAGATGTACGTGCAAACGCATCGCGGAACTTGTTCGCGAACTGTCAAATCCGGCGGCGCGATATATCCCTTTTTGGAGGACTTATCTGGAGGGCGATCCATAAGAAACGGGACGGGCGGGCCGAAAAATTCTCATTTCTACATCGCCGTGATCGTGCTTGATCGACGAGCGACCGTTAAATATTGACGAGGTAGACGGTAGGTGCAAAAAGTAGCGGGAAACGGAACGGGGTGGATACAAATGAGGCTGCGGGGATGAGCAGCGTTATCTCGCATCCTGCGGGAGCTATTCGTCCCGGTGCCGCCCCTTCCTTTCTCCATCCTGTAGCACCGGCCCCGCTATCACCACCTCCTGGTAGCCCCCGTCGCACCCCCGCACCCCCTGTATCCGTCCTTGATAAGAGAAACGCGAAACCCCCGAAGCGGGACCGATTCTTCGATAGCAATTCGCCGATTGTAATTGTCGCGATCTCCTGTCGAACGAACGAACGAGCGTGAAAAGCGCCCAAGAGGGCGGGGAAGGGGGAGAGATGGAGGAGAAAAAAGAAAACGGGCAACTTCGCGCCGTGATTTTTCGACGCGAACGCAGCGAATAAGTAACTTTTTAATATGTCACGCGAGAGCAAGCGCAAACTAAAATCCCGCGTTAATTCGTTCTTATTACGACGAGGTAAAGTGGCAGCGTCGTTCCCGCCGTTTTATTATTCTTGATAAAAGCGGCTCCGACGGCAGATTAAATTTTCTTTGCGTTTTGCGAGACGCCGTCTCGTCGCCGAGGACGGGCAACGGGAGGGAAGACAGGTTATATGAGAAGTTCGCGCGAGAACTGACGAAAGATGCGCGATGAGGACATAATCATTGCATTTCAGAAGAAAGACAATGGACCAATTACGATCAAAGACACCTTTTTATTAAACGTGCCCCGCAATAGCGGACGCGTCGCGTCTGACGTTTCTCATAGAGCCGTCGGCGAAAATTTCGTCCGCCAAAGACACATCGCTTTTTAATATAATCATGTTATATGAAGAAAAAAATTTAGTTGTATTAAGTTTAATTTTAATCAACGAATCAATGCATTTTAATTGAGGATAAGGTGAGTTTTAATGTAGAGCTTCTGGGGATCTTGACTCAAATTTAATTTCGAAAATACCATTCCCTTCAACCTAAATGCTTTCTTTTATTCGGTACATTGAAAGAAATTTGAAAAGGAAAAAGATATTTATTTGGTGGATGCTAATAACGTATTTATTTAAATCTATATTTTTTTTCTTAACTGAAAAGAAAGAAATATTTGAAGATTTATTTGTGGAATATAAAGTTTATTTACAAAAATAAACTTTATATCCCACAAATAGATGTTTAAATATCTTTTTGCCAGTAGAAATAAAATGGAAACATTGCTTTCGTAGAAAGCTAAGGTTTTAAGAAAATGTATATTTTCTTATCTGAAAAATATTCTATATTAGTATAAGTAAATGTTATTTACTTATAACTATTTACTAATATAACTATTAAATATCTTTTATTTCTTAGATATTTTTTGTCTCTCAATATACAATTTCACGTTAATAAGACCAAGCTTTTTTTCTCCGTCGTTATGTAGAAATATTCTAATTGAACGCGTCTCGTTGTCAATAAATAATGAGAATTTGTTTGAGAAAATTTCAATATTCCTTTCTTTAATTTGTTAAAAACAACGTTTTCACCTATGTGTATCGTTGTCTCGCGCGCATAATGCAATGGCGAACACTCGCGTCTCTCAAGGATCGTGTCAGGAATTTGTCTGCTTCCATCGAGAGATTCTGATATCTCGCGTTATAACGACACGCGAGACTGTAGATATTGGAATCGCTTCTGAGTGGAGCGAACGTAGCGAGAGATTACGGGATTGCGGCATGTCTGACCATACGTCGGCTTTACTACTGCGGAGGTGAGCAACCGGCGCCGGCGGTTCCGCTCGACTCGCGGGGGAGGAAGGGGAAGTGAAAAATCCCCAGATTCCCTCGGGAATCGTCGAGGTATCCTTATAAAACTGGCAGATTAGAGTGAAACGTGACGAGAGCGCGAAATCCGCTCTGAATATTAAGCGTCCCGGCGATGCGAACGGAGCGCAGCCGCGTTTGAGCTGATAGACAGTACTGAGATCAAATTGCACGCGTCTCATACTGAAACGGAGCGACTTTATTTCATCTTTATCATGCATTTCGTACAAGCGTAAAACGCGGAATCGCGCGCCATCGTATGATATTACGTCGAACTTATAATTTTTTTTTGCGGTGTTGTTTCGTCTCTCTGGTTTCTTCTCTTATTTTCACCCAATAAACGAATGAATTCCGTGCGAATAAGCATCATTCGCATCACAAGATGCGGTGATCGAAGTCATCAATGTAATGGTTCGCAGACGGGGGAATATTGGAAAACTAATTCGCGATTTCGCAAAGTTTGCGTCGTGATGTAATGAATTGAACCGGAGACTCTCGGACTGACAGGGAGATTAAAAACCAGCCGCGTGACTTTACGCAGTTAACTCTTTTCCGAAAAGAAAGGAAAGAGAATGGAAACTAGATACGATCGATTGCTCCCGCCTCGTAGCGAACTAAGAGAAACGGAGACGAATAGCGGGCGTTGTAAAGGCTAAAAAACAAATCACTCTGCCGACGTTACATCGACGAATTTCCCGTTCATCAGTATAAATTGTCCAATTCGCTGCTCGCTCGAGTAATCCGCCGTGAAAGGGGAGTGTCGGGCGAGCGAATCGCGCGGCAAATTGAAAAAGGCCCTCGACAGCGTGTATTTAGCGAAACACGATAACGATTACGCGAAGAGAACGTAAGATCGAACGTGATTCCAATAATACGAAGCGCGTGTACTCGGTCTGCATACTTTTTATCGAATAAATCTACTCGAAAAAATAATCTTGCAGTTATAGCGAAAATTATCTAGATATGAAAAATTAGCTAAGATTGATACATGACTAGTAAACACTGCGACATCGCATATGTTTTGTATTTAATCAATATAAATGATATTAACAATTTTTATCTGAACTATTTGTGAAATTTAGCAAGAAAGTCTCTGTGGCGTCCATTCGTATCAAAGTCAGCTAAGAATTAAGAATTAATTTTTTCTATATTTATCTCCCAACATAAAATAGCGATTTTTTCTACAGAAAGTTTTACAAAAGTTTTATTGAGTCCTTTTATATGATAATTCTCAGATACACCATTTTCGATCAAACAGAAAATTGTAGATCAATCAGTAAGAAGTCAGACACTTATTTAAGGGCCTCTAATTCCATAGAAAATGTGCAAAGCGATTCGACTATACGCAATACGTTCGTGCGAATGCCGCGAGAAGGAGAGGAACAGGACAGGAAGAGAGAGAAAGAGACATGAAAGGCATCATTATCCGTCGAAAATTAGCTCCACATATCCAATATACGCGTATTGTTATTACTAGTATGATTATTATAGAGGCAAATATTCAATATTGTATACACTATTGTACATGAAGTATTAAACATCATAGGGCGTGCAACGTTACGCCGCTCGCGCGCGAGCGATAAAGTACAGCTTGATATGGTCTCGTTAACATTTCACTGTGGGGCGCGTTTTAATGTAGGACGCTGTTTGCATTCGCGCCGTGTGTAATTAAAATCGGCCGCGTGTGACGCTTCGGGTCGCGCGTGCAAATTCATGCATATCGTCCATGACGATTTGTCCGCGCCCGGCCTTATCGTCCCCGATATCATTATTCAAGGCTTGACTAAATACGTTCTTTACTTAACATAGTAATAAATCACCGGTCACGTAAGGCGAATCGTAACACTGTAACGAAAAAGCTGCTGAATATTCGCACGTTTGCCTCGTGAGGTATAACTCGCGACAGAAGAAGATTCCCCCCGGGGGAGAATATTGCGCGCGGGATCGTCGGTGTAAGACACCCCCGGAAGAGCGGGGACGTAAAAATGGTTCGTGAAATTCCATCATCGTCGCAAAAGGGAAAGAGAGAGAAAGAGAAGCATGCGAGCCCGTTAGCGGCGAAATGAACTTCGTGAAAACACTCACCCTTTCTCTCGCTGAAGAAATCCGCGCGGCCGCACGTCGCGCACAGCGCGATAAGTATCACCAATGACGATCTGAAAGCAATTATATTTCTCACATCAGTAATCATAGGCAGTTTCGTTCCGCAGTTTCGCGACTTAGACGACACGAGAGGGACAATGGGGCGCGTTTGTCGATCGACTTTCAAATCGAGAATCGATTCTATTTCTTCCCGATTCATTCAGGGAATTGCATCACGAGACAAGGGAGGAAATATTACAAATAATAATGTAAAAATATAATCGAGTAAAATCGTACAAAAATAAAATAACAATATAAAATAACAAAAACGGCAAGCGCGATGCGGAAGTAAGATAACCAATTTCCGATAAAGAAAAACATCTTTATTTGGAAAATAAATATTATTTTTGGCAAATAAGTCTTCAGTTAAGATTACATGGCGTTAAACGAAAATAAATCACTTGCATCGACACATTTTACATGATTCAACGAAGAGAAATATATTCTTATTATTCAAAAATGATTTTCATGAATGCATTGAGGGAAATGTCTGATCATACTAACCAGAATTCTATTTAGGTTTACCAAACGGTATGGTGAATAATCGTGTAACAAGATATTTAATCAATGATACCAAACTATCTGGTGAGCGCATTGTCTAAGTAGTATTACAGTGATTCTTAAATATGTTTACCAAACCGTCTAGTACAACATACAATTAATAATTGAAATAATAAAACCTAACCTAAAATCTAACCTATATATTATATATATCTATCTATATATTATATATATAGGGTGTCCGCTAACTGATCGAGCAACCGTCGTGTATACACTGAGAGAAGAATTTAGTAAATATTATCAAAATTTGGTTACTATTACTAAATGGTAGACGTAAATATAGCGGGCCAAAGCTATGGCAATACTTATTAATTAATTTAGTTCTGTAAAATAAATTATTTATTTGACAGAAGTAAAATTTATTTGCTTCCAGAATATATTTAGTAAATAAAATTTATTAAATAGTTGAGCAAAATAAGCGATTTTGTAGTAATTACAAAATTTTTGGTAGGTTCAACCAACCATCTGTAATAATAGATATTGAAACGCTGTAATAGCTGCAAATGAATGAATTTTTCGTTGTGCTGCAACAAAACATACTTATACTGGTAACAATAGAACTCGTACCTACTGAATTTTTTATTATATGGGATATAACAATTTCATAACAATTATCAAATATCTGCTCATAACTGTAATATATTTCATATTAAATATTTAATATTAAGTAACTATTACTAAATTATTTAATTTATATTACTGTGAATGCAATTACGTCATACTCCCGATCTATTAAATATTTGGTAATTATTATCATATTTAGTATTAATTACTAAGGATTTAATGAATTTTTGTAACTAAATGCAGTTTGTTATAGTTACCAGTCTTTTCTCTCAGTGCGGGTAGAACAGGTCAAAATAATTATAAAAGTTATATACCATTTTGAAATTTTCTGTAATTTTTTGAAATATTTATTCTGTAATTAATTAAAATGTATAAACAAATGAGTTCACGAGAAGCGGTAGGACAGGCTTTGTGTGTAAAAGAAATGGCTTACCTCTTAGCAACGATGAGTAAACAGCTGATTTCGAGACGGAGTAACAAGCGACACGTATACGTTACTTTGCCTGGAAATCAGCTGTTTACTCATCGTTGCTAAGAGGTAAGCCATTTCTTTTACACACAAAGCCTGCCGCTTCTCGTGAGTTCATACATTTAATGTTTATACATTTTAATTAATTACAGAATAAATATTGAGAAAATTTCAAAATGATATATAACTTTTATGATTATTTTGACTCGTTCTACCAGTACACGGCGGTTGCTCGATCAGTTACCCTGTATAATTTTGATATACTTACTGTTTATAATCTTCATACAATTTTCTTCGAAATTCGACATATTTTAAGAAATTTCATTCTTTCAAATATCTGACGGTTTCAGCGTCCATTCTTTTATAGAACCGACGTCTTTACAAATTAGTATAGACGAAAAAGGAAACGTGGCAGCGAGTAACAATTAACTATCGCGTCAATAGTATCACACGTCTAGAGAGAATTACCAAACTATCTAGATGCCGACAACTAAATGTTTCGGTATTGACCAGATGCGTCGAGGCATCGTAATCAGAATATTGGATATATGAACCAGATATCGCATATAAATTCACCATATTATTTTCACAAGACGAGTATAATGTCATTCACCAAGCCATTTCTCTCAGTATGGAAAGTACAAAATATTGGATTGAGAATATACTGTTTTAAATGTCGAAAGAAGATATTATCATAAAATCAAAACAGTCATATTGTATTTTTTATGAGCCTATCCTAATATTGAGAAATTATAACATTGTTGAAATCCATAACATCGTTTAAAATTCTTCTAACAAAATTATACATATCGTCGCTACACATAAAACAATGATTATTAATTTGAGTATAGTTTTAAGTGGACATTAATTTATTTTCTGTGTATCTAATCTAGAAAATTTTTATTGTTTTAGTCTATAAACACGAATATTTAAATTTTCAATATAGAAAATATATGTGCACATATTTTAAATATTTGTTTTTATAAATACCAAAACAATAAAGCAGGTACGTGTCCGGGCATATCTTTACCTTAATGATCCGTTTGGAAAACTTAGAATAGAAGATCGAATGTTAAGGCGCGTTCAATATTACTTCACGGAGTTTATAAAGCGCTATACTCATAAATTGCGGAGTTTTATCCAATTTCGCGGAAGGTTAGCTGTGGTTGCAGCCGCGACGAGCGCAATTCGCGCGCGGATCTCATTGGCATAAATAGCAGAAATGAAAACATGCGTCGCTCCATGCAACAAGGAAGATACGCGTCGCGAGAAAATGCTCCCGATTACCGGGAGACGGGCGGTCCACATTCCGGCGGTTAATTGCTTCGTTATTAGTCCTATCGTCGAAGGTACGACGGGCTGGCAACTAATACTAATTAAATAGGGATGGGAACGGGCGAGACGCGTCGACAACGGGCGACAACCGGGACGTCGGGGACAAAGGAGAAAGGAGAAGAGGATAGTTCGCCGCTAAGGGATAAGGTTGGTGCTAGAAAAGCTACGTGATCCCGTTGAAGAAAGGCAATGAAATTAACGCTAGAGCCATTCGAAATAACAGCGTTGTTCTCCTCCAGCCCGGGGGAGAACAATAGAGACGCACCTGCTGCGCCATAACCAAGCCGGGCGATACTGCGGATCAAGAAAAGTGGCCCTCGCTATTATGCCCGGGCTTTACTTTGACACCCTTGCGCTTTTGTAACAGAGCGGTTTTGTAGGGCGAAACGTGATCACGATTTCGTCGCGATGAGTTAGTCCCGCGCTAAACACGACGGCGATCTAATCTAATATAGGTATCCTGTACGACGCGTTCGCATTGCCTTTAATCTAACTTTAAATTAACGCACACACTAATCACTCTATCCCGTTTATTTGAAAGTTCTTTCTCATTCGTCCTGCGACACTTCGTGTAATCTTTCCGGTCGTATAATCTTATTATCTGTTGCAACCGTGTCCATTGTATAGTCGGTTTATTAGAAATTGCAGCACTTTTCTCCATAGAGTGTTGCGACATATATATTCCGTATTCACAATAGGAAAATTATATATTTATATGTAATATTTTTACTATATATAGCTCCTTAAATTCGCTTGCTCACAAACTTATCCAATAAAAGTATCGGAACTTTTTTGCTAAAGGCTACACTCATTCACTGAACAGCTAGAACACGCTTCCTTCGACGCATCATGGAATGTTTGGTGTCCATTAATAGAATTCTCTTTTGAATCATTTTTGTAGGGCAGATTCTCTCACTTGGACGTTGGATGCATCTCGAAATGTATAAAAAAAAAATTGTTCAGACCGTTCTGCGAACAGTACTTTGCGCCATGTATCCTGAAAATAGTGAAAAGATACTTCTTTGTCGCTTTTTTCTTTTCTTTTTTTCTTTCTTTGTAACATAAACCATCGAAGAAAAGATTAATTAGAAGGTTCCTTCGATCTTGCGCGGCTCCCGCGATTTTCCCCAGTCACTTCGCGCTATTAGACTTCACGTCACTCGCGTCGGAAAGTGGCATGCGTTCATTCAACCATTTTTATACGTTATTCAGTACGGAGCGACGCGACGCGAAGGCGAAGGCATTTGCGTGGCTGCTGCAAACGAATCGTGACTCGCCCGTCTACGCGCTATAAATCTCGGCGGCCCGCCACCCCCCGGTCGCCGCGAGAGCGCATTATTTCGCGCAGACTAAGGTCAGTGGAACACGGGGAACTCGGTAAGTGTGGCACGCATTTGCATGCCGGCTTGCACAACATAGCCGTGCGGGTCGACGGGCGGACGGGTGCGCGCGCGTGGGCGTAGTCCGTCGATCGTGAATCACGATCAAGAATTCCGGTCTTGCGCAACGATCGCACGTAGACATCAGCACGGCCGTGCCCGTCGATTTCGATTTCCATTTAACAGGGCCGTCGACCCCGCCCCCTCCTCTTTTACTCTCGCATTCAACAGGCAAATGTTGACAAACGATTGAATTATCGAAGCCGAAGAAATCGATGGGTCCGCCGTCCCGTGGGCTCACGTATCGCGACATATAATATATAGTGTAACTGTTTAATATTATTATCCGTAGTATTATCCGTTCCTGTTAGTGTGTTTTTGTATTTAAATAATTTTTTTGGTGTTTTATTAGTTAAGTCTTTGCATTCCGTACACTTTTGCGCGATATTGACTCAAGAATATTGTCAAATAAGTACTGCATAATAGCTGTCAAACAGTACTGTGTAATTACTGTCAGGTTAATTAATGAAAAAAATCAAATTGTCAATGGTCAGTTATAGGCAGAGTTATTTAAATTAAGTAAGTATATTAAGTAAATTAAGTAGTATTAAGTGTGAATTACTATTAAATTAAGTTATTTACATAATTTTTTTGGTGTTTTATTAGTTAAGTCTTTGCATTCCGTACACTTTTGCGCGATATTGAC